AGGAAGGAAGGAAAGGAGGGAGGGAGGAAGGGAGGAAAAACCTCAACAGCTTTTTACAAGAAGTTCTCATTTTTATAAGGATTTGGGCATTCTGGGCTATCCAGGGAAACCTATAGGAAAGAATGGCCTTTTCAGAGAAATGGAAGGTTTGGATACAAAATGAACTGTCCTCAGACATTTATTTCTAAGGAAGAGAGGGAGGAGAGAGAGAGCATCGGCTAATAATGGGAAAAAAAACACTGGGTGAGGATTAAGGTACAGCTCAGATTTGTATAACCTCTGCATACCACATCAACTGGGAGACATGATGAAGTAAAAGCCGATCATGGAATTCTCATCTTTTCTTGAAGCCCATGACAAACATATGCACACATGTACTAACACACACACACACACACACACACACACCAGCAACAGCAGCAATAGCAGAGTGACAACAGAAAGGCAGTTTCTTACCTCTCGGGAAAGCCCATTGTTCTCATACATTTGTCTGATTTCTTCCCTGCTCAGACCACCAATCACCCCTCCACCTGCAGAGCCATAGAAGGGAGGCTGAGGATATGGCCCCTCATACAGCTCATGTCCGACCATGCGGCTTTCACCCACAGGGTTGTACTTCACAGCATCTTCAATGGATGGGAGGCTATCAGAATGCCTGGTGAAGCCACAAAAAGAAAAGTATGGTTGATTCAGGTTCTTTTTCAGATGCTCAACTACTTGGAAGACTATTTGCCTGGAGCAATATTTCTTTGGGGAAAGAAAAAGACATTAAACTAGATATAAACTGGGAAAGGTGACTGTGAAAAATATCCAGATCAATCTCAAAAATGATTTATCAGGTATTATCATTATTATCACATGGCAAGTGCCCTATGGAATTGTTCCATTTCTCATTCATCTTAATTTGCGCCCCCAGTGCCTGGAACTCAATGGGGAAATATGCCTGCCAATAAATAGTATTGCATTAAATGCAAATGGCTCCATCATTTCCAGAGTAAACAAATCAAATATCATTGTGTAACCACACAGAGAATCTGACAGAAATATAAATATGGGGGACTGGGCCTTAATTAAATTCAATTCAGGTCTACAAATATTTGCTGAGCACTGATTATGTGCTTAGGACTATTGCATCTGCTGATGAAACAGAGAATTTGTTGAAATCTCTCTCCAGAATGAGATTACAGCCTAATGTAAAGTCAGACTCAATAAAATGTATAAGAACAATGATAGAAGTATGCCCTGAGTATGCTCAAGGAACCTAGGAGAGACACCTCCTTGGCAAGCCAGAGAGTGAGAAAAGCTAACCTAGGCCTGAAGCAGCAGCCCTTACAGACTCCAGAAACACAGAAGCAAACTACAGCCAGGGACTGTGATCACATAACAATCCAAAAGGTCCTCAGATTGCCAGTTTAGCAAATAGAACAGGTTTTATTTCCTCTACTAATGAAGCCATGCTTAACTGAAAGAAAACTGGATTTCATTTCTTGTCAAATTCTTACCTAGATTTAAAACCTGGCTAATTATCACCGAAATGAGTCAAAGGGAAACAAACTTACAGATCTGGTCCTCACACAGGGCCTACCTTTTCAATCCCTCTCCCACCATGAGACAGGAATGTGGCCACACTCAACGATGCCTTTCCTTCAGTGTCCCTTGAGATTCATACATGCTTCCCTGACTTTGCTCATGCTCATTCAATTAGCTGGAAAGAGTCCCACCCCAGCCACAGCAAACATCTACTCCTCTGTCCAGCTAAATGTCATAACCACCATTAAAACTTCTGAGACTCTCTCCCCAAGGCAAAACAAATTCATCCCTCAGTTAGACCTCTTAGCATCTTATTCATATGCTGCTTATGTTTTCTTTCCACTTGGACACCCATGGAGGACAGGGACCATATTTTCATTCATCTTTATAGCTTTCTCGCCACCACCCAGATCCCTGTCCAATATTTGGTGCATAGTAAGTACTAAATGAATGAATAAAAGGAACATTTATTCCATCAGAGAGCAATTTTCTTTATTTACCTGAAGGGCCTTGCTCTTTCTCTCCTAACATTCTGAGCTTGAAGAGTCCTGACAAGGATGAAGATGACAGCAGAAGAGACAAAGAGAAGCCCAATAACGGAGGCGATGGTGATGCCTATCACCAAGGGCTCGGACACAAACTCCTCACAGTGCTCCCCTCGGTACCACCAGTTCTCACCCACCCGGCACCTGTAACAAGAATTAACTGAGTCCAAAAATGGAACCACTCTGCTTAAAGTAACAATTAACAGCAGAACTTTTGGTGGCTTATAATAAATTTATACTTATCTATATTTATAATATTTATAATATTATATAAAATTTATAATTTTATAGACAATATCCATAACAAATAAATGCTAAACACATGAAGCTTCAGTAAAGAGGTTAAATGATCATATAATTTGACCATTAATAATGCCTGGCACAGACCCAGTAGGTCCTCAGTGACTCTTTGGAAATGAGCGAATAAAAGGTTGACCAGCACAAAGGAAGTATTCAATTCAACTTTCTTGGTTATGGGTGACAACAAACAGGCCTGGAAGGTCTCAGCAACAGAGCTGGGTCTAGAACCCACATCTCCACACTCCTCATGTCCTTTCACCACACTGCGGAGATCCTCAAACCCCGAAGACACAAATGTGTGCAAAAATATTTTCAATTCCCAGAATAGCAAAGAAATCACTGCTTTTCAAAATAATATTAATTTCTCAGGAAATCAAAAGACCACTTTTCCCCTTAGTTTCCTAGATAAACATTACACTTTTTCACATAGGAGAGTCTGGATTATTTCTACCTATTTTTTCTGTTTTGGGCATCTGCCAGCATTTGATCTTTCTCACATTCACGAATCGTCCTCTTGTTTATGTCTCCCCTGCTTATTCTCAGCGTCCTCTCCTTTTACACTCATGTGACTGTGATTGTGTGGGGTTGGAAGGTTGATTTGTTCTGCTTTGTTTAAGGGGAGTAAGCAAGGAAGGATGGCCAAGATACCCAAATCTGCTCGTGTCTGTTACATTTTCTTTGGTTCTACCTTGAAAAAATTGGATCTCAGGTACTTAAAATAAAATATATGTCATATCTTCAAAGGCTTTAAATATTTGCTTTTCTTTATCTTTGAATACTCAGTAGGGCCAAGGGCAGACCAAAGCCAGAAAAAAAACATAATCCAAAGAGAATAAAACTCCTTTGTTTTCACTTTCAGATACATTATAAAGTGTTGATCTTATGCCTAAACCTAATTTAAGCACCAATTGCCTTACCATCACCACTAAGAACCACAACACAGAGATCTCCAACTACTTCAAGTATCCTCGGTAGAACACTGAACAAAGTTTTCCTTACAGTTCCCTAAGAGCATAAAATAAAATAACCATTTGAAGTGGGTATAATTCAGGCCTTTTAACTGACTCAGTCTTCACAACAGAACTAGATGGCACTAATCGATTGCCTAGATATAACTTCGATAATCAATATTATTGTGATTATCCTGAAGTCACAGGTGTAGACCCCTTTTCTTCAGAGGAAGTATCTACAACCTTGTGAATGCGAAATCCCTAACTACAACCATACCTACAAATGGCCCCTTGTCCGGGCATAATGTCACACTTTCCATCATTCAAGCAGAAGTCAGGCTGCAGGTCACAGAGACTCTGACAGGGCAGTTCTTCCACACTCAGGTACCCAGGATAGCATCTGCACTCTGCTTCTCCACTCCAGGGACTGACCAGACACTCGGAAAATTCATTGCAAGCCTGAAACTTGCAAGGGTTGGCTTGATCACCTAAAACATTAAACAAACCAGAGAATGATGCAAGGAAAGGCAAAACACAAAAGTTGGGGTACATGAAGCTCCTCCACTAAGGCTCCTCCCTCCAAAGGGGACAACCCCTTTCCTGAACCATTAAAATACACCATCACCACCAATACCACAAAAAATTTTTTATTCATCCTAGTATTCTTTCCTAGAGCCTTCAGAGAAAACTTGGCCCTGCCAATACCTTGATTTTGGAGTTCTAGTCTTCAAAACTATGAGAGATTAAATTTCTATTGTGGTCCTTTGTTACAGCAACTCTAGGAAACTAATACTGGGGGTTGCTGATAAGATGCTTATATAACAAGGAAAGCATACACAAGTGCTGACAGATGGGCAGTTTCTACAAGGGGACTATAGAGCAGGATTCCACTGTATATTTCCTAAGTCTTCACAGCCTTATCTTATTATTCATTTCATAACTTTGTGATCAGAAAATAACCTAATCTCAGCCTAGCACTGAGGAATAGAAGTGTATGTATAAGGAGTGATAAGGACGATATTGTATGGCTCCCTTTGTTGATGGAAGTTTGAGACTTTCAGTGAAAACAAATTAGGCAAGAGACAAGTCAATCTTGTCTCTAGCCAACCTTGAGATAAAATAATATTTTAATCTGAAGGCCTTTAACTAAAAGTATACAGGTAGTAGGAAAATTCTATTTAAAAATTTCAAAACATTATGACTGTTCTATGGCTACGTGTGAGTGTCTGTGGGAAGGAAAATAGAATCTATAAGAGAAAAGAGATGTTGCTCCCTTTTGCTTCCAGACCAAGGAGAGAGACCAAGAATAATATTTTAATCATATAAATAAAAGACTGTATCTTTAAAGTCATTTTCCAGTCCTTTGTGCAGATTAAAGGTGGATGCCCATAATAGATGGCCCTCTGTTTAAGAGTACTTCAATGACTTTATGGAAAAACAAAGGTAGACCTGGAGCTAAGGCTGGGATAGGAGTCAGGGACCTAAATTGTAGAATGAATTCTGGTTTTACAGGGGCAGGCTAAAAAAGGGATTGATGGGTCCAGAAAAATGACAGTGAAAGAAATATGAAGAGGGTCTGGAAAGACAGCCTGAATGGCCAGAGTAACATGGCAGCTGGTTGGTCCAAAAAGTTGGCCTGTAAGAAATGCCTTTGAAAGAGTGACTGGGGAATTTTAAGATATTTATGCCTAACAATAATATTTTAAGCCATCTGCTGTGCTATGATAAAACCTCCTTTATCATCCTCATATCATAAGCAAATATCTGATAGAGTCAACTACCTTGTTGGGAAAGTCAAAAATGGGACTGTGATCTGTGTTGGGTTTTCATAAAGAATGACCAGAAGTGTCGAGACAAATGTGAGATGGGAAATTCAGCAGAAGGAACTCAGAGCTGGAGGTGATTAAGAGATATTTAGGTTCCTTGTTAATTCCTAGAGATACTAGGGGTGGGAGGGCCATGAATGCAGGTTTTACACTGCACATGGGATGGGCTAATGCCAGTTCATTTGAATATTAAAGAAAAAGGTGTCCCTAAGAACCCGGATGATTTGGCATGCAGCTGACATGTGAATTACACACAAAATTGAAGTAAATGCATTTATTTATTGTACTTCCCTTTAAAAATAAGTGGACTGACTTTTGCAAAAGTTTTATAAATCATTTGTATGGCTAATCAAACGCTTTTATATATGTTACTGTTTACTCCTTAGAATAGCCCCATGAGATACACAGGCCAAGTAATATTATCCCCATCTAATGTATGATGGACTAAGGCTCAGAGATAAAATAGCTCATCCAGAGTCACACAAAATGATAAATGGCAGAGCAGAGGCAAGAAATCAGGCCTTACAAATTACAATTAATTGCTTCTTCCACTGCACCACATGACAAAGAATGTGCAACCAGTCTTAGAGAACTCAAATGGCAAGAGATTTAGATATTGGGGACTTAACTAAATCATTTTCCTCATTTTCAATGAATACTGTCCTACAGGATTTCAAAGGAAAGAATGTTTGCTTCTTTCTCAGTTAAAGAACAGGGCTGACTTTCAAACCAGTGTGAGAGCAAAAGGCACTGGAGAAATACGAACCCAGATATTCCTCCTTACTACTACTCAAAACTACTGTCGCCTGGTATGTGAAAGTCAAAAAAGAACAAAGTCTGAGGATTCAAGGGTATTTTCTAAATCCAAGTCTTCCAAATAAAAATAATGGCTCATTTCATTCATTCACAGTATTTCTGAGTTCCTTCTATTTGCAAGGCACTGTGGTTAATAAAACAGCTATAGCCTCATTCCTTGTGGATAGCACAACTGGGGAAAATAGTCATGAAGCAACAATGTGCATAAATTAGCATTATTACAATAGTTATAAACTCTATAGCAAGAAAAGAACACAATATTACAAGAAAAACTAACAGGAGACTCAAACTAGACTATGGGTAAGTCAGTCTTGAGTAAGAGACATTTGAATCAAGCCATA